TCAGCAGGGTCCATCAGGACCGTGCCCAATGTAAACTTGAGGGCAGCCTCCCTATTCAAGATAATTACCAACAAGATGTGGCAGGTGAGAAAGAGAGGGTGCCCAATGGGTAGGATTGGCATGGTCAAGGAGCCCTAGGGGTATCACGGCCGTCCCTGGGGACCCTGTACCATGACAGAAGGCTACAGAATGAACTGATTCAACTCCTAGCAAATGCTGTTAAAGAGAAAATCGTAGAAGCTGCCCATTCTGCAAAATACTTTTTAATAATTCAGGACTGTACACAAGATGTGAGTCATATTGAGCAGATGACAATGATCATTCATTTTGTAGATGTGGCAAAATCTACAGATGTGGATAATGCTTACATCTCAACATGTACTGAAGTTTATTTCTGAATATAAACTGATAGTTTTCCCAACATCTTCATTGCTCTCTGCATTCTCTTGACTCTCCTAGTTTCTGTTGCTAGTGGGGAGTGTAGGTTCTCAAAGTTAAAATTGATAAAGACATACCTTCGTTCTTCTATGCTGCAAGAGAGACTTGTTGGACTGGCCACCGTGTTGATAGAACATGAAATAGCTGGAAAACTTTGTCTTAAAGAACTTGTTTCTGAATTTACGAAACTGAAAGCATGAACAGCAAAGTTCTCATTTTTTACACAAATGTTCGTGAAGATTTTCTTTTAATTGTACACATATTATAATAGATTCTATTAGATTTTTTGCAGTATAATTGCTAGGGTTAATGAAAAGTGTGAAATAATCAATACTGTTTTTGTTTTTATTGTTTTACTGTTCATTTTGAATATCAAATAAGTACATGTAAAAGTTCATTCTAGACTTCTTATTTTCCTCTATATTGGAAGTGGTGGGGGCACCAAGGTAAACAGTTTGCCTAAGGTGCCAGTTACCCTTGGACCGGCCCTAAGTGTGAGTGTGGATGGTGTCACTTTACTGTGGAGCTAATTTGTCAACTCCACAGTAAAGCACACATGTAGATGCACCCAGTGGCAGCTTACTGTTACCATCTTTCTCTTATGAAAGTTGTTCACTGAAGCATCTCAGTAAATACAAACAAATATGGTAAATCTCCAACAATCTACAGTGTTGACCATAAAAGAAAGCATTGATCTTTCTACCCATGATCACTAATCATATGAATAGGACAGGTGCTCTCCAAACCAGCAAAGTTAAGGACAGAATTTAGCAGTTGACAGACAATAAATTATAGCAAAAAATAAAAAATATGCATTTAATAATTAATTATGAACATGGATATTTAACAGGAGGACAATGTTTTTAATCAGTCTTTAAATACCTTTTTATAACACTTGCAGTTCACCTTCTTTGCAACAAGTGGATGTCAAGATAAGATAAAAATCGTTCTGATACTTTAGAATGTTAGAAAAGACCAAATCCCAAAGTCTTCACAGTCATGTTAATGGAAAGTTGCCTCATTGAGGGCATCAAGATTTTATATTCTATTTGTTTCTATGCTGGGTTATTAGAGCCTCATGGGTATTTCCTACCAAAGAAATGGTTATATATAAAAATGTTTTTTCACCTATTGGGTTAAATAGTGGTTCAGTGGAACTGCACAGCTTCTCTTTGTTCATTTTGCAAAATTAAAAGTCACTATCTTCCCTATAATAAATGGCTAAAGAACTGAATCCCAAATACAGGCTTAACAATGCAGCTACTTGCCCATGGCAGCTGTGACATAAGAGAGCAGCAGCAACTTCCAGATGCCTCTTGCCACTGGTGTGATCACGATGCTGCAGAAGCCCTGGTTGCCCTGCCCTAGCTATGTTTCTGCCCACAAACAAAAATAATATCAGGTCAAAGAATCTTCTAGCTGGTCTTGCAACAGAAGGTCAATAATCTGATCTTGAGCAGGAGTAGGGTGACCAACCCTGACTGGGAAAGGTTCAATTGAGGTGTTACTGACAACTCAGAAGATAGGGGCTTCTTTGCTATCCTCTAGCAATACCAAAGGTAAACTGTACAATTCTAAGGG